GCATGATCCCACCTATATTATTTGCATTTGTGTAATTTCTGATCTTCTCTTTCTCATGTTCTGTTGCATTCTCAGATGCTCCCAGTCTATCATTCATAGTATGCCCCCTTGGCCCGCACAGTCCATGTCGATTCCGAGACCGAAATGGTCGGAGAGTGCACTGCGCCTGACCAGCACAGCTCTTGTAGCACCTCGTACTCCTTTGTTGTCTCTGTCTCTTTTATTGCCCCTATTACTTTGTAGGGATGTGCACATAGTATACAAAAAAAACGCTCCCTGTCTCAGCTCCATCCGTCGTGAAGCGGTCGTTCCCGTACTGCTGTATTGGCGCATGGGACTCCCTTCCTGACAGGCTGCTGTCGCAGCGCCCACACAAAACACGTTTTCAGTCAAAGGTCTACCGACATCTGAGAGACAGCAACTGGTACTGGGCAACAGATTCCCTGTAATTTTTCGAGCTCGCCGCTTGCCGGACCCGCTAATCCGCGTACCTGGCCTTGCTCAGATCAGTGCTCAGCTGTGTTTTGCATACATGGAAAAAACTTGTTATGATTCTTTTCTTTTCTCTGTGTATTCTTTTACCAGGCGTGGGCCATCCCCTGGATTATCAAAATGGGTGCATTTAAAATTATTTTTCTTTTTTTTAGTGCAATTAGGAGTATAATCGATGCAGACATGGCCAGACAACAACGAGTTCATGGAATTTTTAAGGATTTTTATGTTATTCAAAATCGATTTTCGTGTTGCGCTCATCAGTGAATAGTATCGTTTCTTTTTTTTAGCTTGTTTTCTTTACACTTCTTTGTGCGAGTTTCGTATCAGATCTATTGAAAAAGTTCATAAGTTTTGGTTGATGAAGTTGACATGTACATTGTACATCAGTCCAAACACTGATAATTTACAATCCCTTTTCATCTTGTTTTATTTTTCTAAACACCTACCGGTACTTTTATCCATTCTACTTCCCCGTAGCTAGATCTAGCTTTGCTTTACATTTCTGTTCCTTTTTCCTGGTGCGTGCTTGTGGCATTGAAGCCGAGACCTTTGGTTGGTGGAGCCCCTGGTACCTGACCATCACTGCTGCCCAGTGCAGCCCCTGCTCAGTAGCTGTTTGTTTTTGTCCACATAATCATTTATTTTTCGAGTTGGGTTTGTGAATACCGTAAAATCCCGCCAGAGCGCCCCGTCTCTCCCAAAGTCTCATTTAGGGTTCCCAGTAAAACGGCAACATTGCCTGTTGGGAAATCCCTAAGGGCCGTTTCACACGAGGTATACATGGCTTTTCACGAATGCAATCGAATGGGCGTTCCAGGCACAGTACACAGCGCGTGATTTCACACGAGTGTCGCAACATGCTTTTCAAGCAGCAGTTGCCATGGCAGCTTTGACCTGCCTCGCACAGAAGTCGTAAAATACGGAATCCGCACGCGAACGCGGGAGTTTTGAACACAAAATAATACGGAGCATCAGCAAATCGAATTTTCGATCTGATTATTCGAATGGCAAAAAGAAAATCAGAGAGAAAATTCGAATGAAAAAGAGGTTCAGCATGTAGCGCAGTCCAGTATTTTCGAATCGAGTTTTTTTTAGCTGGACTGGGATTTTGAGATGTTATGTGCAATGAACGGAGTTGCTGTTGTTTCTCATTGCCTTTGGGGATGACGCGAAGCGGCGGATGCTTCATCCGATTCAGGCTATTGGCGATAGGATCTCTCTTGGAGACCCCTTGAAAAGGCGGATCTCGGCCGAGCTCCTCCGCTATCCCTTGCATATCAGGAGACCCGCGGACGAATAGGTGAGGGTGGGCCCTACACTGCCTCAGCAGAATGAGATCCATGGTAAGGTCGACCCTCAAATATTTGGCACACTTTGAGTTGCCCTCTCCCTGCGGGGAGCTCACCATAGACGCAGATGCCGAGACAACGCCAGCAGGGCTACTGCAGTACTGGGAGCAGGAGGCATACCGGGGCTGGTAGTTGGTGACAAAGCCATGATTCCAGGATACTTGAAATGTAACAAAATGCACACTTGATAAAACTTTTCACAGTTCGAGAGAGAGGAAAGCGTCCACAACAAGAAGTCCGGACTAGTACTTTAGTAAGAACTAGTAGCTACATGCGCAAGAATGAGTACTCGTAGTGCGCCGTGTACTAGAGCACGCGCGGAGCATTCGAAAAGTATTCGAAAAGTATTTTCTGTTTGCGGGCATTTTTCAGTCGAACAAAGCCCTAGTTTCGACTGATTGAGTGCTTTTCGTGACGATTCTCGAATTTCATTCGAATATTCGATTTGCTGATGCTCCGTAATAACAAGAGTACATTATGTACTCTTGATAATTATAGCAATAAAAACTGCTTTATGGCAGTTTTCTAAAAAAAGTTATTGTGTTCTAGTCCGTGGACCCCGTCTAAAAAGTAAGAAATTAACGAAATGTGATAGCTGAAAATTAAAATTTCACACAAAACCTCACAATAATCACAACACTTGAAATGCTGCTTTCAACACTAAACTTGTACTGCACCAACAATTGGCAACATGCATGCATAGGAAAGAGGATCACGAGGGGAAAAGGTCTTCTACATGTAGCTTTTCATTCTGTGTGTGATTATTGTGAGGTTTTGTGTGAAATTTTAATTTTCAGCTATCACATTTCGTTAACACGCATGCACTCGCTATAGACCGATCCCCTTATTATACCGGGTTCGAGCACGGGGGCAACCTCACTCGCGATCGAGCTAGTTTTTGAACGTGACAGCATCTTTGACAGTGTGTTTCAGGTTTGTTTTGGAATGTCCTGCTTAGTTCAAGTAGTTTGCGATGGCTTCGAGTGGTGCTAAACCTCCTGCTGGTAGGAGCAGAGTCTCCGAGAGAGACATGGACTGTGATGCCGCTGCAGGATTTTTTCAAGGCGCGGGAGGGAACGATCTCGGGCCACAAACAGGAGTTACTCCAGAGGTGAGTTTTTTTGTTGTTGAAATATTCGAATCGCGAATCGTGTTGTGAGATTTATTTTGTGCCTAGGCTACAGCAGACCACATTTCTTTCTCCTTGCGATCGGTGCTGAAGATAATATTAACCTTTTTCTGGTCTGTCTTTTCCTCTCCAGAGCCATCTTCTATGAAGGTAACCGTGGTGCTGCCAAGTCACCAAGTCGCGATCAGCAGCCCTGAAGTGGAAAATCGATTTTCCAACGATCTGGTTGGACATCAGCCACTAAAGTACTTCTGATTTGCCTGTAATGACCACAGCAGCCATCCTTGGACACCTTGCAAAGACAGGAAAAGCCACTGGTGGAAGCGACTGCTATGAGGTGACGATAGCAGTGCAGTGGTGATCGCTGTTTTGTCAAGTCGAAGGGCTAGCCAACCCAGAGGAAGCATAAAAAAACGATGTGCAGTGCGTGTTATTTGTTGAGCGTGAAGAGCTAGAGGAGGACAGTGCAAACACATGGACGGAGTGGATGGTGTTTGAAGAACAGTGTGCTGTGTGCCGGCTGGTGGTGATGGTGGTCTTTGTCAGCATGTATTCATGCTGCTTCTTGTGCTGGAACACTTCTCGCCCAGGAAGGCAGATTGCGTGCTCCCTGGCCCTCAGTTGGCTATGGGGCATTGGTTCCAGGAACATTACCCCAGAGCCAATGATGAGTCATACCTTTGAAAAGTCGAAGCTTGCTGTTAAGTTAATCGCAAGCGTAGCGCAGTGGATTGCTCCCTCTTCGAAGCACGAGGGCCAAAGCTTGCCGCTGTCTGCAGCAAAGTGTGTGTGCGGTTCTTTCGAACCTATGAATATACCCCCCTGCACGTTCAGAGTGAACTATTTTCTAGTATATTTAACATCCTCAACCCGCCACCACCATGCGCTCTTGGCCGAACTAATGCACGAAGCATAAACACACCAGCACAGCAAGGACACTTCCGTTGACAGATATTGTTTACGCCTCTAGACCGCTGTTTCTTTTCTTCGAGCTCATCGTTAGAGGAGGATAGTAGCAGGATACTAATGATGATATAATAGAAGATGATAGACGGTTTATGGTCCGATATTGATGATTGAATATCTAAGAAAGCAATGACAGTGATTGCGAAATGGATAATATTATCATGATTATATGCCAGTCTGGTAATGCGTTGTACTAGTGGACAGTATTGAAATCATCACTGCATTCGATGCAAATATTGGTATACCTTTGGTTTCAGTATTGGAAAAAAAGAGTAAGAGAACCTGGTTGATTTGGTTGCATCTGCGACTGGCTACTGGGTGTTGTGATCAGCAATGTTACCATGGGAGAAAATAAGAGCGCAAGGATCTGTTGGGTCTTGTTGTGCCGGTGCGAGAACCCTAAGTGCATGGCAAAATAGAACTGTTTCATCCACAATGCAGAATGTCTTGCGGTACATGGCATTGATGACTGAACATCTCGCCAGCTCGCCCAAATGGGGATCATGCCCAAACGGAGGAACAAGACAACTTTCCAGCTCAGCTAGCTATATAGTATATACCGTGAAACGGATGATTAACTTGTGCTACGCATTACAGCTTCTGTCCCATTCGGCCCAGGCTTAGACACATCAATGCCAATAGCAGCTGATCCTCCATTACATGCTCATTGGCGATTTACGGCCACCTCCAACTGTATCCGCCGTCCCTCAGCTTCCGTCTTCGCAGATCTGGCTCGGCGCAGTACATTTTCTCGGCTAGGCTCAAAGAAGTCCCACAGAGCGGTCCAAACACCTGAAGGCAAACCAGTCAGAAACTGGCGCGGCTCAGAGTCTTTCTTTATGTTATTGTACGTAAGCTGTT